GTCAGTTTGTTGAAACCGATCGTTGAAGGTTGCATCACGTTGTTTGTTTGCGGCATCTCTTCGTCCCGGTGACATCGCGAATCGTACTGACTGCTGATACCAACTGATGTACGGAAGAGCGTGAACGAATGGAAAAAATACGAGTAAACAAGATACTCTCTCGTAAAACACGCAAAACGAGATACTCTCTCGATAAAACTCACAATCAATTCATATTTTTATTCAAATCCAACTTGAGATAACAAAAGAGGAGAGTCCTTTATATAAGGCTCATAAATTCTAATCCTAACTTGTCCAACAAGACAAGAATCCTAACAATACTAACTTGTCTAACAAGACAAGAATCCTAACAAAAGTGATAAATAATAAGTTTCCTAACAAATCTATAATACCACTAATAATAATAATAATAATAATAATTAAAGATTCTAAACATCCTTATCTCCATCAGGTGGCCCCTTCGTACGCTTTTCTTGCATCGAATGTCGACTCATCTTACACAACGCGACAGGTGCTCCACCCCAACGGGGGAACAACTTGCATCGAATGTCGACTCATCTTACACAACGCGACAGGTGCTCCACCCCAACGGGGGAACAATCGACAATGCGTGATTCTATCTCCATATATATATAATGTATGTATATAGTTTCTAGCTCCCCTTGTTAGTGTCTTGGTGTGTGTTTTGGAGTGTGGTGTGTTGGCTTTTGGGGTTTGTAAGGGGGTAATTTCTTTTGTGATATGTGAATAAATAATGTGTGTAAGCTTTTCACGGTTTGTACTGTGTTTCTATAGATTTCTTGTTCAAGTTTTTCTTGATATATATTTTGTGCTTGTGGTTTGTGACTAGCTGTGGTAATTGATCTTGGGGAAAGAAAATGAAGAATGACATGCTTCTGGTCTTTTTACAGTAATAAAAATCCCAACGGTAGTCCAACGGAGATTCCCAACAGTATTCCAATAATATTCCAACGTTGGAATACCAACGAAAATTCATACAATCAGTGTACTGAATTGCCAAGAAAAAAAATAAATCCGGTAAGTTTTTCAGTGTACTGAATTGCCAAGAACAAAATAAATCGTAACGTATTTGTGTGAACAATGAGATTCTCAAGTACACTCAAGTAAGTTTTTTTGGTCATCACTCCAAACTGCATTACACTATACCCAATTCTATTTTCCAGGTAGAAACTCATCTTAAGGAGATTATGAAGTAAAACTTAATTACACCATAAAAGAGGGTAAATTTACGAACTTCTGGTGTGAAGGTTCCATCTTTCATCTGTATTACCCACACCCACACCAGGTTTAAAACGACTTCTTCACGGAACAGATCAACATAATGTTAGACGTAGAACACACAGGCAGCGAAGAGCATCGTCATTATGACAACAGAAGATTCGAAAATTATAACGATCAACGTGAATTAAACCCAAGATCACCACCATCTTTAACTAAATTCAACCCAAACTTTTAACTACTTTACGCCTTTTGGCCTAACCTCAATCCCCTGAAAAATGAAGCCCTTTTTCCAGTTACCGTGCTTCACCTCCATCACGCCAAACTCCAGATCAGCATCTTCTCCTCCCTCGACAAAATACTCTCCCAGCTCGACCTCCATCCACCCATCACCCCTCGTTTTCGGGCGCTTCGTATCGGCAGTCTCGGCAGATGCAATCTCCACCATCTGTTCCCTCACCATACGAGGCAGCCTACGATAAGCCGACCCGAGGTTACGGGGCACGATTTGGCGCCTCTCCCTGTGGGCCCCGTCAGGATCTAGAAACACGTTGTGCCTTTGACTTGCTTGACCAGTCAGCTCCACAAAAGCCTCGGCCGGGTGGTCAAAGCCATGAGCGCTCGATTTGAGGGTGAAGACTAGGTATGCCACGTAGGACGTACCGGGCGAGAGCATCTTTGTACTGATTTTGCCTCGTATTTCGAACCAGCACACGTCGATAAGCTCTGCCACTTCAGGGAACCTGAAGCAAATGGACTGAGTTAGTTGCTTACGTGGCATGTAAATAGACCTAAGTCTTGGATGACATGGACAAAAACATATAAAAGTAACAAAATTAACTCTAATGCTCTAATGTAAAGAGACTAAGTCTCTACTTGGGCTTAAAATAGACTTGATGTAGACCCCGTCTCTTTTTCTTGTTGCCACATAAGCAGAAGGACCCAGTCCACTTATGAGTATATATGTATATATTTTTTTCTAGACTGGTCTATTTCTTACGTGACCTGTATATTTTTTTGAATGAACACAAAGCATTGCTTTGTATGGATGCTCTTAAGCACCGATATTGGAGGAAACCCGGTCCAACATTTTCGCAACAAAAAACTCGGTTTGAAAAATTAGTGCTTAGTTCAAACTGAGAGTGTTGTTATGCTTATCGTGCAGCGAAATGAATGACAAGACCACGACTGATTAGCACCGGAGCTGATTTGTAATAACCAAGAATTGAGGGGGTTCGATTTACCTAGACTCGGGAAGAGAGACCCATTGCCAATATTGGGGAGTATCGCTCCAAACGATATAGTGATCTCTTGCTGCTATCATGTAGCATTTCATTCCACTGCATCTCTCTAATGAAAAGCTCTGTTCAACATTAGACAAGGTCAAAGAAGAAGATCACTGATCAGACATACCGTCATAATAAATCCCATCTCCAAGCAAAAAATTTCGAACCCTCTACACTAGGAATGCCATGATGCTACAAATAATTCGATCGCGACTCAACAATCTACACGTGTTACACAATATTCCAATTAAACATTTATCAAGAGAAGGGTCAATCATCATCACAGTGTTATCTCGATCATTTTCGTGGCTTTCAATCTGTCAGTCCAATCACAAGTAACTAGATGCAATCCAAGAAGGTAACACCACAATGTAATCCACAATATTGGTAACACAACAATGGTTCTTAGGTTCTCCAACACCACATTCTCTGAAATACTCTTCAGTCCAAACACACAAAAACCATATGCTTCAATCTTCACAAACATGTAAACTAAAAATTAAGATATCAGCTAAAAGCGCCAATCGATCGACTCAACGTAAAACTAATAAGAAATCAGCAGACGTCGAACAGATCGGAAAACATATAAACTCATAGTATCATGCACAAATTCAAACTCGACCAGCCATGCTAAATCAGGACCAATTTCATTTTTATTATTTCCAAAAAAACCCCACATGTAACAATTTTGATAGCACACATCAGAACCTATAATCATATGAACGATAAATCCAGTTACCAATCCAATCGATCTCATCCTAAACACAGACAAAAAAAAAAAAAAA